GGAGTTTTTCAAAGCTTGTATCAACCGAGTTTGTTGACTATGTTGCTTTGAGAAGTAAGACTTCAGCCTGGAATACTTTTGAGAATCGAACGGTAAACACGTACATAATTTTGCCGATATATATATATTATATATATATAAACAGGTACATAATTTTTAAGGTTAAAATATGTAAAAAAACCCATGTTTGTCTGAAAATATCCCAAAATAAAGATTACAAACTTTGTGACACCTGGAGAACGCAAAGTTTAAAAATTATCTCGCCGTATATGTATGTATGTTACAAATCGAAGTAACAAGTTTGCCTATATTGGGTGTATATTTTGCAAACTCGCTCAGAAAACAAAAAAATTTATACAATTTTTTACTTTACTTTCTTATGTCTTATAAATACATATATCTACATAAAACTGGGTAATTACTTGAAATGGTAACAGAACCTGATTAATGTATCCGATATCTAACGTATTTTAAATAAAGCTTTAGATGTAGAGCTACAGCGTGTTGAAAATTTCAGTCTAAGTTTTGTTTATTTCCAAGTAATTTTTATGTACTATGGATATTCGGACAAAACTTGATTTTTAGAGTGTTGAAAAACGAGAAGTTTTTTTCAAAAGTTGGTATGAACAATCGTTAAATTTAAACTTAAATACTTTTCAAAAGAGAGTATGCAAAACAGTTTTAATTTTTAAGAAACATATGCGGCAATATCTTTAAATCAGAATATCTGGAACACGCTTGTTCGTAGCATACTTTGTTAAGAATACATGCTTTACGTAAAAATTATGGAGGTCTTGCCAACAAATGTGATACAAGCACCAACTAAAAGAGAAACATCATTTGTTAAAATAGCAGATAAAACAACGACTGTTTGACTGTATACCCTTTTAAAATATTAATAGTAGTGATCACGAGTCAATAGCTAAAATATGGCTTCAAAATGGCAATTGGCAATTTAGTAGTTTCAAAGTTTAGACTCATTTAAAATATCATACTCTAAGACCTACCGCTTTCTTTTTAAAAGAATTTAGATTCTCAACAATAAAGTATATAAATCGTCAAACAAGATTAAAAATTAGATTATGATATCTATTAGTCTTGACAATGTATGCGATTCGATCGTTTTCTGCTTTCAAGGCGTCGTAAACAATAATTTCTTATTGGCGTTTTACAACCATGAACGGCTTGCTTTCATTTGTATTCCACTTTGAGCTGCTGTCTATCTTTGCAATATTTACATTGCTTAATGCTGGGAACCATATCTTGTTCAGAGCTATAGTTTCCTCTTTCTCGTTGAAGTCGTTTTTGTGTTTTCTTTAGCCTTTCTTAGCCAAACTTTTTTTTCTGCGAAATTAATATTGTGTATTTCTTTGCAGATGACATGTTCCCGGCTGTCGATATACAGTTTCTTAATTCCTCTTTGATCCTGGCTGCAGTTAATATTTCAGTGTTTCTTCCGTAGACTCCGTTTACCGAGGCGACTAAATTTAACAGCTTCCTTGGTCTCCATATGGAAATATCAGCTAAGAATAATAGGAACTTTTAGAAGTTTTAATTCGATTTCCACAAGTTCGGGCCTCAAATTTTTCATGCTTGATCCATGGGGGTCATGACGATTCACTTCTCGAATGACGGTGGAACTATCTGTTAGTATTGGTGGTTTGACTGTATAGCAGCTTATGGTCTAAATAATCTCTTCTTCTAGGTCCAGTACTAGCTATAAATATGTCAAATATATACAGATACCAAATCGTCAGTTTCAAAGTTCCACCTCTCAAAGCAGTTTTCTTGAATTTTTCTTTTTGAAATTTAGGTTTGCTGCTCATGACTTGCATGTTGCTGCTACTTCCCTTTTTGTACGTAGAACTCTCAATCCCACACAAATAGCTACCAAACAATAAAAACCTAACTCTTTTAATATCAGTGTTAACATTTGTGGTTGACTCTGCACTTTTGTGGAAAAGCCAAGCAACTGCAAAAGCAACATGCTGAGTTGAACTGAGCGAAGTGACGCTAAGCGTATCGTAGTGTGGGAATAGCTACATATGAAAATATGAAAATGGGTAGACAATTCAGTGCTGCATAATGCAAAACGTATAAAACCCGATGGAAACGTAAGAATTTGTTTTAACAGACTGACTATGAGTCAAAGTAAAATAAAAATTCGGCAATACTAGTTGCATTTTATATAAATAAAATCATATCTAAATCTGGAAATTTAGAAGGTCGACTTATAGACCACTTGAGGTATGCATTAGCAGTTAAAGGATTGCCATTACAGCCAATTTGCTCGGTTAGTGATGTTGATGATTGTTGTGATTCCAGATTGAAAATGAATAATTAAACGTTAATCACAATTTTCACGTCAAACAAAATAGGTGACAAAACCTTGAAGGATAAAATCTTTATTTACAATCCGATCATCGAGACCACCAAGTCGGTTAATTAGAATATCAATTGCTTAATGGATCTATGCAGTAACGAAATGGAAAGTGTTTAAAATCACCGCATAGTAGGTCTGAAGAGCCCCTTTTTAAGACCAACCGGACCGAGACGTTGGTCGTTGAAGCGTCGGAGCACCACATAGATCCAGTGGGGCGTCAGGAAAAAGGAAATTGCCTTTTTACATAAAAAGAACTACTAACAATACATCACTTAGGGCTGACGTGCCATTTGCTGTTATTGTTCACTGCGATACGTTGTGATGTCAATGAATTCACGGCTTAACGCTTTTCGAAAGTCTCCAAACAATGTTAAGCTTAGCTCGTTTCGAATTAGACGATTTGTTTTACTTTGAATACATTGACTTTATAGGGAAAGTGGAAGAGCTTAGAGGATATCTATAGGGAGTAAATTTATCCAGCGGTTTTGAGAATTCAGCTTTGACATTATACCATTTTTACACTGGTCAACTACAACATTAAGTGTAAATTTTCCCACTAATCATATTTGTGTAGGAACGAGACTACGAAGTACAAATACACTTATAAATGTGTTTTATTTTATCAGACAAAAAAGAAAGTGTTTATCTGGAATATTTGGGAACCGGGATACACAATATATTCTTGTCGCAGTTGAAGCCGAGTCTTAGGCTTTAGGAGCAGAGAAATACTTATCTATAAGATTTTCAGGGGGTTTACATGCTCAAGTGGGTTTACATACTCAAGCCATATGCTCAAACAGGCTTGCACAACCCAGATTTGAGCAAATGAACTGAAGAAAAATTTGGCATTTAAAACGTAAAACCCTCAGTTCGTTTTACACAGATGCGAAGTTGTTGGCAACAAGATGGAAAATTTCGGCGAAGAACTAACTGGATTGTTTTGCACAGTTTCTGCTGTGGAAGAATGAGTGTGAGACGTTTTAAATTACAACAGCACTATTTCCATATTGAATGCGTTTCACACAATTTTTATGTAACTGAAGCTTGAGCATCTGAATACAGACTAAAATTTTTCAAAAAAGTGAGAAAGATTTTGGCATCGGATGGGGACTGGCGCCGGAAGCGACACATTTTTTTGATTTGTTAGCAGGGACCGGATTCAGTTGTCCGCTGGTGGTACAATAGGTGTCACCAGTGCTTGCCGTTCTTTCTTCTAAAGATATTTAAAAAAAGGCCGTTCGTTAGTAGACAGCAGAAGGTTAAGTTAAATGGAGCGGTTCAATACACAACGAATTTTCATTGTTAAAATTTATGATTAAAGTGGTGGAAGTTTTGCAGCCACAGTTCGCAAAATGCGTACAATTAGTGGCCATCTGAATGCTCCAACTGAAGCTACTGTGAGAAAATTAATGAAGAAATTTCAGCAAACTGGGTCTGTTAATGAACTGAACGCAGAAAGACTCGTTCGTCCTGGTCGCTCGACTGAAAACATCGCAGCAGTACGTACAAATGTTGAGGATAGCCCAACCACATCATTTCGGCATAGAGCTCAGGAAATTGGTGTTTCCACAACCACTATGCATCGAAATTTAACAAAATATTTGAGGCTTCGTGCGTACAAAGTTGAATTGGCTCAAGAGCTAAAGCCGGAAGACCATGGGCAACGAAGAGTCTGTGTTGATGGGATATTGGAACAACGACAATTGGACGGTGATTTTTCAACGAAAATCATCTTTAGTGGCGAGGCCCATTTTCATCTTGATGTCTTCGTTAATCGACAAAATTGTCTCATTTGGGGTTCCGAAAATCCACGAGTGATCGTTCAGAAACAGATGCATCTAAAAATTACTGTGTTACTGTATAGTGTGCATTTTGGGCTGGAGGCATCATCGGACCATTTTTCGTTCGTTATCGTGAAATGTTAACTAACTTTTTTGTGCCAAAATTGCAAAATATGGATCTCAACAGCATGTAGAGAGAGCAAATGTTAAATTACTGCACGAGTAATTTCCTGGTCGTGTTATTTCTCGTTTTTGAGATCCGCATTGGCCGCCCAGATCATGCTATTTAACGTATTTGGACTTTTTGCTTTGGGGTTTTTTAGAGTCACAAGTTCAGGTGAACAAACCAACAACGATTGAAGCCTTAAAAGATTAATTGCAACGCTGTAGCTCTGAAATACCGCAAAATGTAAGCGCAACAGTTGAAAATTTGATGAAAAGAGCACGTCTGTGCCAGCAAAGCCGAGGCGGTTATTTGTCCGATGTCTTATTCGATTCATAAACTCATAATGTGTACTTCATTTTTCAATAAATCTTTCAAACTTATGCCACAAATACATATGTTTTATTTAAAATTGAAATCCGTTTTAAAGTAAATTAGAACATTTTAGAATTTACAATTTTCCGCAAATAAAAGAAGAACTGATAATACGTAAAAAATAGGGGATAAAATCTTTCATTAAATTTGATCGGAAAAATGAATTCGGAATCGCAAATGAATTGCAATTGCACGTTCTTGTACAAATATCATTAACAGCGCACTGCCAAATGTTACCTGTATAATAATTATTAGTATTAAAGGTACACGCTTTCTCATTATTAAAACCATAACAATTTATATATAAAAAGAACGTCAAAATGATATAAAAAAAATTTATTTGGTCAGTCACTTTTTGGCTTCAGCATCAAAATTCAAGTAAATTTTCCAAATTCTTAGTACAAAATCCGAAAAAATGGTATTCGTCTGCCCTACAAAGGAAGAATCTGAAGCGATTTCTCAAATGTCATCGAAAATGAGAGATGCACTTCAACAAATCGAAAAGGAACTAAGCATCAAAGTAAAACCAATCTGTGTGCCCTGTTGCGTTCCATTATGTGACTATCCTTCAGCTTCAAATGAAAAAAATGATATTCAGAAGGAATTTGATCCACCACAAGTCATGGTAAGAAAGATATTGGCTAGTGTATATGAAAAAAAGATGGCATATCGATTTCGAATTTTTAATGTAAAAAATTCTCCCAAATGCCCAATACGAAGAAAGAAATTTTGTAAGAAAGTAATGTGGTTTAGGTTTGTTATCGAGAAACGTGCAAAAAAAGCAAAGGAATTAATCGTACTCCAGAACAAGAACAGGGCGTTATAAGATTGCAACAATCTAAATCCCGAGAATTGAGGGCCAGCATTTTATATACTGGTTGTCTATGTGAAAAACGAGACGGTTTGCAGGTAGTTATTATCATATAAGGGGTAGATGATAATGATGCAAAACACTTTAAACTGGCGTGGAAATGCATTTTATATTCCTGCAAATATCATTGAATATAAAATTTTGTTTGTTCAAACTATTTGGCTTTGGTTTTCTTATTAAAACATTTTTATTACTGGTAAAGAAAAATAATATAAATAGGTATTTCTCGTTGTTTATCGGACATAGTTGTTATGAACGCTTTTCTGACTTCAATTTTTCATAAAAAGGCCCTTAAAATTTTCCTAAAAAAACGTTCTAGAACTGTGATAGAAATACAGTTAAATAAAATTCTGAGAAATTTCTGGTTCAGGATGACTGCCCTCGTACTGGTTGCCACGGATCACCCGAATGTCTCACAAGACCCCCAACATGTGGCCCAAGCGAATTTTGTGACGGCAAGCATTTGGGCAAAAATAATAAATACAGTCGTCTTTCGAAGAAAAATGGCAAAAATTCAAGAAACGAAAACGCAGAAGAACATAAAAACCATAAGCATTTAAATGCGAAATATAAATGCTTCCCAGCAACTGTCGATCAACCGATTGTTATTCCGCTTCCACAGAATCCTCCATGCTGTCCTTGTCCTTAAACGACGAATCAATAGGCTTAAATTTTGTTAAGGTTAAATGTTATCAGTTAATAAACGCATGTTTGATTCAAATATATTCTCAGCTTGGTATAGATATTTCAGTATGTTCATATTTATATTTTCTTGAATTACTCAACCGACTTTAATATATTTTTTTAAGTTTGCAGCTTCTTTTTTGCATGAGAAATAATCAACAAAACATCGACCCGCGTTGCTTTTTTAACATTTTTTAACACCGTTTTAGTTGAATCCAAAATGTAGCCAATTCTTTTGAAACTACGTCTTGTTTTATCTCAAAAATTAACAAAATGAAAAATTGTTCAGGGCTTTTATTTAAAATCAGTGAGTTGTTTGGGATTTTAAGCCGTCATTCAAGACAATATTTTCCGATGTTTCGCCGTTCTTCTTCAGAAGTTTTGGCTCAAAAGCTTCAGTCCAGTGTATATTTTATGCTATTGGCCGATTTTAAGCTGTATTCTGATAATATGTGTTAATTAGTAATCTCGTCGGGTTTTCCTAAAAATCGAGTGTTTGCTGAGGGATTTAATGTTTCATTCGCTTGGTTCCTATTTTTACTTATCTTTTATACTTAATAAAGATACACATATTTGCAGTAGGTTGCACGGCCCTTTTGCATATAAACCTTCGGTATTCTTATAATAAAATAAAGAAAATGTTTTAAATCGAGATAAAAACATGGTTATATTTCCGTTGAAGAAAAATGTGTTTGAAGTGAATTGAAATAACTGCGATAGAATTATTAATAATAATATGAAATAAATTATAATAAAAGTAAATAATCGAATTAAATGAAGGATATATTTCCGGTTGAATATATCTTATGGAATACTTACACTCGAATTAAGGGTTCCTGACATTGAAGCTAAAAATGTTTTTTATTTGACTTTAATAATTAAGTATAATCATATTTTAATTCTTTTAATATAAGATGTAGACATTTTATAGGTTATTTCACATTCTTTTGAAAAATGTACTAGTCAACAAAACTGTTTTTCAGAGAAGTCATTTTATTTTCAGATTGAAGTAAAGAGAAGAAAAACCACCTTTAGAGCAACATCGCCGCATAAAAATGTCGTTGGTTCAATGAATGAAAATATAATGAACTTCTTAAGTTCTTAAAATTCTTCACATTTAAGTTGACTTAAGTTACGTTAAACAAATTGTTTATTTTTTCTACAAATATTGAATGTTTTGTTAAATTTTAATGCTCAAGTTATTTAAGGAAATGGTATGTTCTTTCAGTAATACACAAAAATGAAACGTCAAATAATTCATGTCTAAGTTTGTACGAAAATCATTCGCAAATTTTGTTACACTGATTTCGAGTACTGCTTTTTCATACATTATCCTTTCTGAACTTTTTGAAAGTTTTTTATCAACTTTTGTGATTTAAAGAATTTCAAGTAGGAAATATTTCAAGAGGTTTTGATCAGCTCATGTTCTCGTATTACTTCGTTAGGTTGGTGAAATATTTTGGATACGTTTTTAGAACCATATTTTATATTAATAATGTTGTTTTTCTTATTTATCAAATCATATAGAGATTTATTTCGACTTTTGAACCTTTCCAGGAATTTTTAATTTTTGAGACAGTTTTTCAAGAGTTGATGTAAATGTTTCAAACAACCAACGGCTACTAATATAAATTTTATTAGTAGCCATTAGATGCAACCGAGTTTTACGCAAATAAAACATAAAATAATATTCCCACTCACCTCTACCGCATAAAAGTAACACTCCTATCATATAAATATGCATGATAAAACAATAAATTTAATTACTAATAAGTAGTATAGTAAGAACTTTATTCGCGCATATTGTCTGCAAAATTCACGGCACAACTAAACAAAAGTAAAATAATAGCAGAAGAACAGTGATTATAAACCAAACCATGTAGGTATCCATAATTTGCATTTTCCATTAGTGGCAAATGAAAGTGTTATTCAATCCTGAATATGTAATTGTGAAGTTAATTAATTTCCAAGACGTGTTTTCTTTTGTACTGTTTAATGGGTTGGCTATAGGTCGAAAATAATGAAACATTTTTATCCAATGCTGGAATTTGCTTTTCAAACCTTGATGATGTTTAGATACTTTTGAAGAAGCCTAATTCCCAAATTTAGGAAATTCACTGCGTAAGCTCAGGTGACCAAAAAAATGCTAATGTATTTCTATTATTAATGTGTTCTGGCCATTTGAAATTACCAGTTTTTTCCACTTGACTAGTAAGTCAGATCTGCTTACCTCAATTATGTATTTGTTTTTGCGAAAATATCCGGGAATTACCATTTCGGAAATTTTGAAATACTATGAATTTAAAATAGCGCATCATATCTTTCACTTTAAATACAATTTTAAAAACCCACCTTAAACGCTATGATTGTAAGCATTGTTCTAGACATTAAAAATAATTGAAGTCTGGCAAATATAAAACTTGAAATCAGTAAAAGCAAATATCTGTTAAACACTTCACATAACAAATACTCAACAGGTTTGAATTTCATGCAACGATCTGCTTCCTTTTTCTGAAAGGTGTTCCATACACGGTGTTCTATAAATATACCGACAGACTTTTAGGGGTAGTGGAGAACATCAAAGCAAACATTTCTGCTTCATAATAATTTCAAAACGAGAAAAACCATTTTGTTTTCGCTTTAACCAAGCTGTCGTTCGAATCGTTCTCTTTCGGCTCTTACTGACGACCCATTAATTAACAAGCTGCTTATTTTATTTGTACTAAGAGACAAATAAATAAAAAAATTCTGTCATCCTTCTAATACTTACAGAATTAAATGCAGAACGCAAATGATTCGCAAACGTTGGCAAATTCAAACCAGATGAGAGATAAGAAAATTTAGTGAAAAAATTGATCAAGAAATTTATGAATATTTATAATTTGGTGGCGTCGACAAAAAATACGAGATAAACCGGGACCTGATCCCAAAAAATATCACCCTTTATATGGTGACAACGTGACATAGTATTCCAAATGTGCGCTAAATACGTTGAGAAGTGTGAGAACCCGAACAGAAAAATCGAATGAAAATTCTCGAACAAAATAAAATATATATTTACAAACCCTACCATCCTTCTATCATTCGTATAAGTTTGTCGGAACATCTTGTATATGCTTAAGGAAACCATGATAATTATGCTAAATTGTATAAGATTTTTAAGCCTACAAGCAGAGTGTTTCAGAATGATAAATATTTTAATGGCATGTTGAGACGGCAGTTTTAAATGGCTAATTTCCAATAGACATTACATTACATTTTCCTGTAGAAATAATATATTTTTAAAATGACAAATGTTTGAGTTTGATGTTTTGAAAACGTTTGGACTTAAAAATGTACTTGTAATTTGTTTAAATAAATAGTTGTTTTTGAAAGAAAAACTTTACACCCTCTGCTTTTAGTTCTACAAAACGTTTTTCCACTTAACGTATGTATAATAAAATTGAAAGCATTTTAGTTTAAAATTTTAATTTAAAAAAATTCATATTTTGCTCGGGTTATTTTCTCGTTTTCCTCATAGAATTCAGCTGGAACGGAAAAGAAAGAATAATATTTGCGTATGATCATAAAACACCCTGTATATTTAAACATACCTACTGTACATTTAAAATATACATTTATGTTTCATGTAAAATATGCAGTGTGTTCACCCTGCATTTAAGCTTTCCTATTGAATAAGTAATTGTTTTGACGTAGTTTATGTGGAGGACACCCCCACCATAAAAAAATCCGACGGCTTGAAGTCGGAAGATTCCGATGTCCAATCACTGAAGCCGCCACGACTTATTCATCGATTTGGATAATTTTTATTGACAAAATTAGCAGCACTCTGTCAAAATAGGCCGCCGCACCATCATCCAAGAAAAATTGTCCTAATTTGGAGCGAAAAGTCATCAAGTTGTAGAGACCAAGCTTTTCGAAAAACGTTCGGTACATTTCACTGTCTCGTCCCTAAATTCTCCTCGAGGAAATAGGGTCAAATTAAGCTAATCATTAATCCAGATCAAACGTTTACCGAAAATCTTATTTGAACATGTTTTCGATTTCATCGCACTAAGTGCAGAAATCCTTCTTGTTCCGATACCAGGATCATGCATTACACCCGGAAGCTCCCTATCAAAACGAAATGAACAAAGTAAATAATTAATAATTAATTCTTTAGCAATTAATCCTACTCTGCTATTTCATTAATCAGGAAAAATAAAAAATTAATATTTGTCTAAACTTGCCAAATAGTGCTAATTCGATCTCGGATATGAAATTTTAGATCTTCTGTATAAGTCTCTGATATTCTTTGACATCATTCGAATAAAATCAAAATTGAACTAATTTGTTAAAAGTGATGCATTTAGTTCAGAAAAACTGCTGAAAAACCTTCAAATCTTAAAAAGAACATATAGAAAACTACTTGGAAAGACCAGAAAAATATTGCAAAACATAATTATGCGTATACTTTACATCTAGGGGCATCGTTCCAGATTTAAACGATTCAAAATGGAAGTGTGAATGTTCCTCGTTAGTCGTTGCTTTTTGTGATAAAAATTGAAAAGTTGATTTTGCAAGCAGCAAATCATTAATTCCATAGTAAGTAAAAAGAAGTTTCACATTATATATGTAATTTGATGAGGCAGAAATTAATTTATCATTGAATGATTGGCATTGAAGAGTCAACAAGTTCTTCAGCCCCAAGAACCTGGAAAACTTTGAATTAATGTGCTTACTGATAGGTTTTCGTCGTTGAATCCAATCACTCAAGCAATTTTGTGTTTGGGTTTGCACAGAGTGAAACCACAAAGAGAATATTTTTATATTTTTGTCAGACGATGCCTAGAGGAAAAATCAATTCTAAGAAATTATGTGAACAAAGTGGCCTAAAGTGTAACAAGTGTACTGGAGTAAGAGAAAAGGACTTACCAATATTGCTCAAAATAGCTACTCCAATGAGATATTTAAACATTGTGCCTGGCTAATCCTACTAACGGTACCACGATTTCACCATATGGCACTACATTCACACCGATATAGACAAATATGCGCTTTTTAAGAGAAAAACGGGCGCGGAAAATTGCATTTTAGTGCATCAAATTGAGGATGTGCATCTGTCCCTGATTAAAGGGCCAGGCTGCACAGTCATGGTAAGGGCGCGGAATAGACTGCTGCTCCTGCTACCCGATTTCCCGGCTAAAGTGGGCGGAGATGCTTGGGCGGTTTCCTGGAACGACCGCCTCCGGATCCTGCAACACTTGCAGGAATTGTGCGTGTCACAAACGTTTTGCTGCGATGCGACGGGTCAGGATGAAATCTTCTGAAATTAATGGTTTCTTAACTTTATCAACCCCTGTATTTATAAAATATGTTCGGTTTTTTACTTACTTGCCGTTTTTACTATTGCCTTTACTGTCCCACCGATGAATGCAAATATTGGGCTCTGTTTTCATTATTCTACATTTTGAGGGGAAAATCACGTTTGATTAATTATAAACTTGATCCATATTTGCACTTCTCGACATATAATTATTTGCAACCTACTCCACCTTTGCTTCTTTGCTTCCAGCGTTACGATGATTTATGTAACTGAACTTCTCATACATATTGATCTCATGCAATTTGGATGCATTAAACTGTGATATGCAATATGCTTCGATATGCGCTTTAGTTGAAACGAAATCCAAATTTTTAGCTTTTCTCCCATTTTAAATTATATTAGATTTGGATTACTACTACTGAATTGTGTATGCATGATGGATGCATATGCGAAATAAAGTTGAGAAGAAGATATTTCCCAAAAATTCTATATAATATCTATTCCAGAAAAAGGTTTTACTTCAAATTCGTAGACTGGTACCACAAACCGACATTCTCAGAAAGATTTCTAAATTACTATTGCAGCCATGATAGGAGTAAAGAGCAACATAATTAAAAATTTAAAATGTAGAGCCATCAGGTCCTGAGCTCCATATAATAAGAATGTTGACTTGAATAGGAACTATTTAATAAATAACAATTACTCATTGTCCCTTATAAATAAAATCCTAAAAAAAATTTTTTATTAGGTGATGAAATTCCTGCTGCCGGCCTCGTAAACTTTTAATCCGCTCTTGGGTTAAATGCTAAGCGTAATTAAAAGTGTGGCACAGTGAGACGCGATGAGTTATAACAAAAAACTGAAAAACGAAAAATACTCTACAAGTTCATAGTTGTGCGTTCATTAAAGAAGAGTGCGCTCTAAATATCGTCAAAAGTTCATTCAAATCGCATGAAATCCTGAATTTTGCGCGTATTGTAAATGTTGAGTTGAAAACGAAAAATTCCACACAACTGCCTACTCTTCATTAAAAAATTCCAACTTCCAAAGTAAAACCAGTAGAAACTTGAAATATTAACATTATGCAGGAGACGTTTTTTAAATGAAATTTTGCGTAAACTTGTACCTAAATGTCTGATTCAAATTTTGTGTGATTTTTTGTGACAACTCCACCAGAGTTTACTCACACACGTTGTTACAACTAATCGAATTACCAATTCTCTATCGAATGATATAAAAACGAGACAACTTGCAGATGAGTTTGTCGTAAAAAAAAGCCGCTCAAAATATTCCCAAAGTTTACAAATTTCTTGTGAAAGAATCAATGGTTTAATCTTATCAATGTTAGGGAGAGTTCGAAAAGAGACTATATTATTGTTTAGGTACAGGAAAATAGACAACTTATAAGATAATGCGTAAGTAGATCCCATGGGTTTTATTGTAGGAATTTCTCTTCCGTTAATAAAAAGTTATTTTTCTCGAAGTAAAATAATCAATAAATCTGAAATTAATTGTTCAAACTAGATTTTCTTTCTGTTACTCAACGATTTTAACGGTGTGAATCTTCTAACCATTTTGACCACAAGGAGACCCAATGACATCATTTTTGTTTAAACACTAATCTGAAAACGAAACGCAGGCAAATTCAATTGTTTCTGTAACTTTGAAACGCGATTATTCGAAAACCTCTGAACAAAAAGCAACAAAGTAGTAACTAATGTAAATTGAACGCAATTAATTGAGCGCCTTTTAAAACGATGTGCCACTTCCCATTTAAGATTTTCAGGCTGACATCTATCCCTCCTAAACAAAAAGGCTAAAAATATTCATTTAAAGTGTACCCCTTACAAAGACGGGCCTTTCCGATTTCTCATATTTTTAACTGCAGGAAAGATATTAAGGGTAGGAAGTTTTCAAATTGACACCCGGTATAAAGCTGTAAACACCATCGGAATCAGGGTTTCGTCATTCAGTGCTTCATTTATTTCCTATAAATCCTGTTTACTTCATATTCCTGCCATATAAGGATAGGTTAATTTAAATCACCTGCATGTGAGGCTCTACAAAAAGGTTCTCATACAATTTGTTCAATGCTTTGAAAAAATGCTGATTCCATTAATCCAAGGACTAATTATTTTTTAATAGCAATGGTCTTTTTCTACAAATGTGTATAAATTTACTAACTTTAAAAAATGGGAGATTAAATATGATCGAGTATTTGCGGTGTTCAGAAAAAACACAAGTCAATTAATTAGCCAGTGTTTGGAAATTTTATTTGCTTCTTTACGGCTGAAATTTAAGATATCGCTAACATTCAAGACAACTCAATTAACAATTAATAGATGCACAAAAAGACAAATTAAATACTGGAAAAATATAGTCATTAATGATAAAGCCAAATTAAAATCTTATTAGAGGCGAAATTAAAAGTGTGCGTTTATTTATATTTCATTGTCTTGTCGAGTATGTTCTTTACAAAAATCATCGTACATCTCTGCCTATACAGATGTACAGGGCTTTTAGCTCATCATCATAATTTGTATTTAGTGTAGTCTTTCTCGTTATTTCTGTAGAAAAACATGTTGATAATGAATAAATGTTTTGTGTAATCCAAGACAAATAAATTATGACCAAACAATGTGACTAAAAGATTAAATATTTCATCAAGCTGTACAAAAAATGATTCCGGTCCTCTTATGGTCAAACAATTAGCAGCCTAAGGAAGGCGACAATAAATTGCCGAAAGCTTGGTAGCTAAAAAATGTTTTCTTCTTCTTCACCACTTCAACAAAAATTCAACTGAAGAAATTAACATTTTACTTTATTTAGACAGATTTTCAGTATGAGTGTAATATCTATTTAGTTTGCTGAATTTAATTTTTTTCGCATATTTACTTAAACATGTAATTTAATTTGTGTAATAATGAAACAATTAATAAAATGTATATCTAATAATTAATATATGATAATTGAATGATAATAAAGGTAATAATAAAATTTGAATGATAATAAAGGTCGAAGCCAGACGATAAAATAATGCAGTTGAAAGGAAAGCACTTTGTCTAAAAGCGACATACATACATACATCAGATATAAAAAACAGAAGAGAAATCTCATTAAGCTGCTCAGATATAAATGGCAAATAATAATGAACCCAGTCAGCTAACTGTGACCCCGTCCGAAGTAATGGATGGAGCAATTTTCGTGACTGTACGGCTATTACCGTAATGTTTTAATGCACACCCGATTACTAAAGATTACTAAATGATAGGGTTGTCCCCCTTTCTAATAGACTAATGCAACAGGGATGTGACAAAGGCATAAAATAGGTATAAAGCCCCGATTTACATCGAGCCCTACCAGACGTAAAACCCCTTTTTAGCGTGTTTTTGTTATTACCGAGACAATGGGTGATGTTGCAAGACTTTTAATTATTTGTTAAAACAACTTAAAATGACACAAAATGCACAAAAAATTAATAGATAGGACTCTATTAAAACGAGTGACTCCGTGCTTTCAAATTTAGCACAATTATAAAAATGTACCTATTAGAGAACCAAGGAGCCAAAGTTATTATCTTAATAAAAGTCAAGTCAACTTATTTTTAAGACAATGATAATTTTTATCAACAAAATTTTGGAATGACTTTGGGGACGCCACTATCACTTTTTTTCAGTAATTTATTTATGGAAAATTGTGAATCAACTTTCATAAATAATCACAAATTGAAACCAATAATTTGGTGGCGATATATTGATGACGTATTCTCCATTTACAGTCATGGCGAACAAAAGCTTGATGATTTTTTATCTTATCTGAACAATAAAGAACCAACAAATAAATTCACTATTGAAAAAGAACAAAATTACCAAATTCTCGATATACTGATTCAGAAAAATTTAGACGATTTCGAAACCTTAGTCTATAGAAAACCTACTCATACTAACCGGTATTTGAATATTAACTCAAAATAACCCGATAATGGTAAGAAAAGGTATTGAGAAAAGTTTATATGATAGACCAAAAATAATTTATAATCAATCTAATTTTTCCAAAGAAAAACATATCATAAAAGAAATTTTAAATTTCAATAATTACCCAAATTATTTTATTAAAAAATGTTTTAACGAAACTGAATTCTCACAAGCAACACAAAATCAAAATAAGCCTATTACAAACCTTTTTATTCCATTTATTCCAGGACTTTCAGATCAAATTAAACGAGTAGATAAAAAAATATTATTAAGACTATCTTCAAAACTGAAAATACAATTAGAAGCAAAATTTCAATTACAAAACCTCATAACAAAATTGAAAATACAAAAAATGTATTTTATAAAATTCCTTGCGAATGCAATAAATTATATATAGGAGAAACCTCAAGACCATTACACAAAAGAATCAAAGAACACCAATCATACATAAAAAACAGGGAATATCATAGATTTTGATAATTTGATCATTATCATTTGATAATTGTCAACATGCATTTGATAATTGCCACAAAATTCAGTCAAAAATTCTACAATTTTAGCAAAGGAACCATCTACAAAAAACGTAAAATTAAAGAAAGCGCATTTATTTTACCAAATCAAAATAATTGTGTTGTTTCATGTTCATTTAATTAAGTCATACATGGATACCTATGCTAAAATCTGAAGTAAACCAGAGAAACATACACCCAAAACAAATTTACACCAACATTAATAATTAACATTACCTTTATTACTTTAAACAATGAGATTAATTCAAAGTCACATAATTGTTGACAATTTGCACCCAACAAATTATCAGACCGAATTTTTATATTGTATTATCCTACTATTTTTACGAAATTTATTAACATACTCTTTTTTGGGTTCATTTAGGTTCTTTTGATAACGATAGTGGAAAATAATTTCTTTACTAAATGGAATTTTCTCTTGCAGCTTGAGCCTAAGTGTGTCGCAGTATACCCTCTAGGTAATAGTTCTTGATTACTTTTTGATAAATACTTATTTCTTATTGCGAAATAAGAGCACTATTTATCAATCTGTAATAAAAGACGTGAGGAAATTATGTTTTTTTTTATTTCCTCCTAATGTCCTCAAAAATTTTTGAGGCAAAATACCCAACAAGCAGTTTGAAAATTTGCTGAAATTTTCAAATTTGGAAAAAACAGCCCAAAATGTAAATGGTTTGGCCAGGATCACACGCAACAATTTAACTTGATATCCTCCAACAATGCAATAAAGAATAAATAGCAATAAACAATAAAAATACAATTATTCCGACGAATCCCAGCCCCTCAAAATCCCTAGCACGAATCGTTTAGCAAAAACGAATTTGATAAAATTTTTAAATTTGGAAAAACTAGCCCGAAACCTAAATGAGTCGGCCAGGATCACACGCAACGTTTTAACGTACTATCCTCCAATAATGCAATCAATAGCAATAAACAGTAAAAAATGCAATTATCCGAACGGATCCTAGCCCCTAAAAATCCCTAATACGAATCGTATAGGCAAAAATAATTCGCTTAACAAACAGATGATTTAATCACCTGTGCGAAATACATAATTATGCATGTATGTACGTTGGTTAAGAAAAAAATTGAAAAAACAGCGCAAAATCTAAATGGGTTGGCCAGGATCACTCGCGGTAAAAGTAATGCTAAACTTACCGAAAGCTGCATTATACCACCTGGAAAAAAAAATCTGTATTATTACATAAACTTAGTGGAAACCCCAGTGATTTGATTGGAAGGAAAAACTGAATAAAACTTTAAATGTTTTACGAAAACTCAACCCAGTTTAAGTTAAGCGTTTATAGATAATAATGTATAATGCTTACCTGCTGTTTGCAAACTTGCGCTCTATTCTCCATTGTCGATCCATTAAACTTCAAAAAACACACGCTTCACGAACACACAATGAGAATCGACACAAAGTTGAAAATAAATGTGGATTACACTCAGCAATGAACCGGTAAGATGATCAACCGTTCGTGCCTAAATGGCACTAAATTGGTACTTTTATCCCGTTTATGAACAAAGAACCGATGACCGATTTAGTCCCTTGCCCATAATAATAACTCATGCGAAGTTAAGGTGTTTATCACATGAAAAAACTCACCGAGCTAGTTATATAGCTACATAACTTACATAATGATAAAATCGTTTTGCTCGCTGGCCCTTTGGGTGACTCATTGTATTGCTGGCTGTTCGATTTCAGTTTGTTCTTTTCCAGTCCGCGACCGAACTGGTTTGGATCTTTAGCGTAAACAAAGTTGCTTTCTCTGGTAAAGATAAACAAACATCGCAGTTCAATTAAATACTCGTTCTCCGATCAATCGTTTGTCCAATTGTCTTGAAACGTGAAAATCTTTTGAGCTTGATCTATTGTAGGAGGCGGCACTATTTTTAGCAGATCTACCAGAATCAAAGTAAACCATTCGCAAAATATGCTGTGATTTGTGAATGCTTCACTTTGATTGCACTATTAAGAGCGACGGAAAATTCGCACTTTTACTCAACTGTACGACAATTCAGATGCGTATACTCCAAGTATTCCTCAACAGGAGCTCTTCGTTTAAGGAAGGAAGACGTTTTTTTTTTAAATTAAGCAATTCAAAATATTTTTATTATATTTTAAGCTAAATTATATAAACACACAAAACATAATTAAATAAAATCAACAAAATATAAATGAATCCCTCTGATATAACCACTGTATAAAAACACTTTTACAGCTAAATCTTTGATAAATCAAACGATCTACCAGATCTTATTCAATAATTAATAGCTTACAACACTTAAAAGTTTGGATTTTAAAAAAGAACATAACTTGTACCGTCTAGTAGTCATAAAATATGAAAGTCATCGTAAAACATGTGTGTATACTGGGTGTCGCAAAAGTAATGACGCAAATAGAAAAGCGTGAATTTCTATGTGACCAATATTCAAGGTCCTGTTCCACCGGAACTGTGTAACATTCTAAAACACGTATAGTGTGGCAACGTCTAATTTTTTTAAATCAGAGTTTGTGTCTATTCTTTGATAATATAATTGAATTACCCTTTGTATAACCCTAAACGCAAAAATGTAATCGATATATTCTGGCAAAATGGGTTGCATAAAATTCGTATTCGGTCAAAAATTAACGCAATTTATAATTGAGTTACTGCACTACTTTCGGGACACCTTGCATATCGAAAACAAAAAACATTGAACACCACGACCAGGACAATTACAAAAAATTAAAAACAAATCGATCTTTACCTGTAAGCATCGCTTTAATTAATATTGTTAATAAAATAAATCATCGTCTCTTAAATACACAACAGCTTAAACAATTACTATAAAACAAGAAAATACATTAATATTATTTCCTTGGTTGTCATAAATTAAACATCATCAAGATAGGAAGCAATCGTTGATCCTTTGCTATTTTGGTATTGATGCAATTAAATATTTTTATTGACTCACGAATACTTAAGTATGAGCACATTCACCCTATAAGAAATATTCAATACAAAACAAATGTTTTTGAACATAAATTACGGTTTTAAAATTAAAACATCAGTTAAGAACCAGATTAACACACCTTAGAAAAAAGTAAAAACTTTCATTTTAAAATCTTTGAAAGGAGAATTTCGTGCTCGTAAAAGGACAATTAAGTACATTTAATTTACAAAATTTTGTTAAAAAGAACTGTATAAATAGATACAGGAAAACCATCATTGTTAATAATTTATAATACAAAATTTATTTAAGTCTCTATGTGGAACCTGTTATTCCTAAACCATATATTTATCTTTCCATTCACTTTTAATCAGTGTCGATCAATGTTAATAGTAGTTAATATGTAAATAACAATATTTTAAAGCCTATGATTGTTTCACACGAAACATAATCGTTGCTTCTAAATTTTATGCGCGAAAAATCACATAATATATGACTAAAATTTATTATCTCAGAAAAAACAATGTATGAATGTAAGAAGGGAACACATTCGGCAACACTACTAGGTACTTCCGAAATCCAACATTCGCTTCGATTCAATTAATTTGCAACATGCTAATATATTAAAAGTTTGTTTCTCTATACACATTATGCCTCGGACTCGTCAGGGGTGTCGTCTTCTTCCAAAATAGGCACAATGAGATTATCCTTGGACATCAAGTTGTACATAATTACGAATTGGGTGAATCTTTTGCACAAATGTGTCTCATTCTCAAAATCATCAAAAACCTGTCTGTGGTGAAAGTAAGCGTGCGAGAAAATTCGGTAAACTCGCCTACATACTGAACCTAGCTTGTATACTGAGCATGCCTTTAACGAAACCCTAAAAGGTAATTTTTATATATGTAACTGCAAGACAAAGCGTGATCATTTAAAAAATATACACACAAACGAAGACATGTTTCTAACAGATGACTACTTTTTCTTTGACACGTTTTGGGTTTTTTTACTCTTTGTTTGAATATTATTCGTATGCATTAGTCAAATTAGTCAAAGTCAGAAACAGCAGCTTTTCAAAATATTTCGGTTCAGTTATCAGCAAATCCACTCTATAACGTCGGTCGCCTTTGTTCCAACTGCATGCGGCACATTTGTAGGTACATATGTTTATTCAATTAATTTGTAAAATAAATAATATTAGTAATTAACTAATACAAATATGAAACATAAGCGAAAAGATAATTTTTATAGCAACAAAATGCCCTTACGCAATACATAAATATTTACTTTTTACCTTGTTTTTTTAATGTTTTTTGAAATGATGGATCATATAATCTCACCAAATATGACGACTACATAATAGGTGGCACCTCGGAAAGTAGAAAACATATTGTAAGTATTGAGTGCATTCTGTTCTGATAAAGGCACTGTTCTCGCTTTCATCAAGGCAAATTCCTGCTCTAGCTTTAAATTGTTCGCAGTTTTACGGGATTCATTTTTTATAGGTCTTAGTGCCAAATTTTGAATGTGAGCGTGCCATATTGATAAGCGCATATAATTTTTGATAACCTTCAACAAGTGAGAAAGCGACAACAAAATTTTATGGATAAATATATCTGTTTGTATCAGATCATCGGCAAATAATAATTTATCAGAAAACTGAAACAACACTCTTATTACAATGGAACAGAATCGCAACGCTTTCTTTAAAAGCATTGACTATCTAAAATAAAAAATGTAAATATTATTTTCATTTTTTATGTGTTTAATTGTATTTTGTTAATCAAACTGCGTTTTTCTAATTTTAGCTGAAAAACTAACCAATAAGGGCCCTATGAATCTTAATTTCAATTTGCTTGGTTCCCATGAACATATAAAACGATTAGGTTTGTAGTAGGGCAAACCTTTGTCCTTGTAGAGAGTAAATCCTTTATGTAGAAATTAATTCTTAGTCGTTTATTTTTCAACAATGGAAGCTGAGCAGCAAATATCACATTGTGATTGGGAATAATCGGCAAACCCGTGCCTTTTTGTGGAGACGCAACAAAAAAACATTTCCCTTTTCTTATTTCCTTTAATTGATTTTTGTCGTTTATGACTATCGACCTCTTCAAAGATAGTCAGTGTTGCGGCTTCAAACACAGTAATAAATTACGTTTAATTCAAAGAAAACTACGAGTCTTAACAAACTCGATTCATCGCCTTGTTGTCAAGAATACTTTAAGTTAACATCTGTTTTTGCTTGATTTTTATAGTCAAATGTAATTTCCTTGGTCCATCTCAACCGTTCATTTTTTATTGATGCAGCCTTGAAAATAGTTTCATAAAATTACACATATTTTTTGTAAAAAGGCGGTTGCTGCCGGCACAACTTGCACCCCCATAAGTAAGGGGTCTAATCATCAGATTTGGATAAAAAGAGCGAAAAGAACAATATCTAGTTACGATAATACCTTAAGATTTCTTAAGGTATTATCGTAATTTACTACTTACAGTTTACGCGTTTTGATCTAGCGGTAGCAAGCACATAAATAAGATATGGAATTCAATAAAGCCGGGATAAGTTCAATATGCTCTTCAGGGATGCCCGAAATTTGACTCAGTGAATCTTTCTCAACTAAAGTATCTTTAAAGCATTATACTAATCGCTATTAAAACTAATGCTTTAAGTACATTCTACGAATTATTTACCTTATATTCCACATAATAGGTAACGCCCTAGATTTCGAAGTCACATTTTTGTTTTATCTAAAAACAGATTGTATCCTGATAGGATTGTACATTGTTTGTAACCGTCTCGCCGTGTGTTGTTTGCGAAGCCAAGAGACTAAAATGTAGACGTTCCAGATTTCTATCTACCTCCTTTACCTTTCTTACTACTGTCGCAACAGTTATATTCAATGACTCAGTAGCGAACAATTCATTTTGTCAGCCACCTCTGGGTATTGTACACATTTTTCGCCTTTAATCAGAATTCTTTGCTTGCATTTCCAGGTGTCGTATCATTTTACTATGTGAGAAACAGTTAACTGAAGGATATGCTATATCCGCGATAAATGATGCGCAATGTCTATTGCCCAAAGTAATAAATTTATCAGAAATTGTGGTATATCCCGTCCCAAGTTTTTTGGCAGTGCCGCAATAATTGTCGATTTTTTCTATTAGTTCTCCACCGAGCGAGTCTGAACTTTAATCTGAGTTTTTCTGATCTCTGGCGAATCTGAACTTCAGTTTATCCATACATTTTCTATTTCTGTGTGTGTTATTTGCTATTTTCAGGTACCAAAAATGTCTAAGCAGGGCCTAAACAATATAAAATCGTCCTGACTGTGGCACTTTGCCTTCCGTCAAAAAAACAACCAACGATCGATCGAGATAAACTTCCAGAGTGCCTACCGTGTACCATGCCCATACGTGAAATTTTGATAAGTTGCAAGCGCATCTTGTTACGTCCGAACCTAGCATAATTGTTGTCCCTCTCTGTATATTAATTTAACCGGAAATTGTGTATTATTCAATAATTACCTGCTAGGGAAATATTTATTACTATTTAACAAACATGCAGCTCCATCCAATGTATGTCTAGTGTAATCTATTGCAGGGCATTCTTTAGGAGTTTTATGTGCAGCACATAAAAATATCCATTGCTCTGTAGCAGTCATTTGAGTGCATGTATCTGGGTAACATTCGGCCTGTAATCTGACTGCCAGACCATTTAGTTCCATGCAAAATTGTCTGCAAAAAAAGAAGAACAAAGGGTCTAACCATTTCAGTTAACACACACCACGACGTGTAATGTAAAACCTTGGGTCAACTTATGTTGTGGACGACCTTTAACTCAACAATAACTAACTAAACATATTTAACAGTTAATAATAAAATAATACTTTAGTAAAGGCAATCAGTATTAAAAATATATGTGATCGGTACACGCTATTTAAACTTAAGTCACATTATTGGTATATTTTGATAGCAAAAATAAACCATAGGTTCAAATATTTAGCGGTTTTATTCTTCACAATTGGGTTTCTGAAAGATTAGAGATAAATATCCTTGGATTTCCCTATAGTGTTTGCCAGTACTGCATAAATTAAATAAATAGTACCAAGTACTGCATAAATTAAATAAAATCGTGTAGTCCAACTTTTCAAAAATCACTGACATGTATATTTTATCTTTGAATTGGTAAGTTGTAAGTGATTCAAAAACTGAGCCTCAGTGCTTATAATTACACGATTCAACTTCATTACTTTTCGGTTTCATCATTTTTCAATAGATCAGTTGTTCACTCCTATTATTGTTAGTACCTTAAATGTTCGTACTTCCAAACACCTTCCTCCTGATTTTCAGGCATCCTTAATATTAACTCAATGTTTGAGGGATCTTTTCGAATCAGCTGCTGAATGTACTGCTGCACCTCCAGGGTGCTGTCCATTTCCTTCAAGGTTTCATCTGGCCAACGACAAAAGTCCTGAATATGAACAAAATATTATTATTGCAAATTAATCATTACATTGTCAAAGAAAATGAAGATTGGTTGCAGTTCTTGTTATAGTTATAGTGCTGTAATGTTTGGTATTGAAATTTTGAAGATAAAAATACATGTTGGCAATTTGCATTTCATTCAAAGCAGTAATAACAATATCGAACCTTCGCTTTAGTTCCCGGCCGATTCCTTCGTAAAATTCTGGTTTCCTCAGCCATTTTCATTTTTTTACACCAAAATGAACAATAAAATAATAATAATAATAATAACAAACGAACAGCTGTCTGTCAAAAGCACAAAACTGTCATCCTTTCAGTGTGCTTGGAGCATGCAAAAGAAGAGAGATGTAATCATCACGTAAAAAATTAATTTAAGATCCCGAAATAACCAGGGATACAGACCGATTCGAAATAACTGTTCCGTTCCGGTTTCGGTCCAACGCAACATTTTAAGCTTAGGTTCCGATTTAGGAAATAGTTTTCAATCTGTCTCAGTTCCGGTTCAAGTTTTTTTTTGTAAATTTCGGGCCTAAAATCTATATAATACAACGAATAACAACAAAGATAGAAGCTACTCTATCTAGGATCTTCTTACCTTTATTCCTGCTTATTGTATTCTACAAGATAAGAGATGCGTAAACGATCCACACTGCTTCCCACAGAGAAAATAAAATAAGGATTGCCACTCAATAATATAAGGATTAAAATTAAGATGATTTTAAATAAAACAACATAGAAATAAGGACTCCCATACAAAATTGAATTGAACTGAAATGGAAATTTTGAAAATTATCTTTTTACTGCAGAAAAATGGAGTTTTCTGACTTTTTCGTCATTCAGTTTTCCCTCAGGTCTACTACGTTTAACATATTTTTCTCTCTGGTTTGTGCCTACACCCTTCGTAATCTTTTGAGGAGTTTGAACTTTTGTTGGGAAGTCCAATTTCAATTTTGTTGTTAGTAATCGAAAAATTAAATAATTGAACTTAATTTTTTTTTTAAGTACCGTGATTATATGCTTACGGGGTTTGTTTTTTACGATTGAAAAGTCGGTTGGTCCTCATCACAAATCATATTTTTAATTTTTTTGAAATTTAGCTTAATTTCTTTAAAACATTTTTTGTTAATACTTGACCTCGTAGACGGCAACGAAAATCCTGGGAATATACATGGTTGAACATTCCTAACATGAATGTTCGTGGAGTATACATGCATGTATATTCATCAAAGTTCATAAAAAGTATATCCTAGGTATGTACATATATGTACATATTGGGTATATGTGCAGATGAACATGCCAGGTATGTACATATTGTGTATATGTACAGGTGAATATACCTAGTATGTTCAAAACAAATATCCCGGTAATATACGTGAATGTATATCTACGGTATGTTCCAAATTGGTTGACTATAAATTTTGAGTGCCCGCAGCAGAAAAGTAAAGGCGTGTAAAAGTAAATCTTCTTACTACTAAAACTTGAGATCCTTATGAAATACTGAAAATATGGTGTTTTGATTAAAAAATTAACAAAATTTATCGAAAATAAATTTTGCCTGCACTCAGCAGAAAAGTAAGGGCACGTACAAGTACAAAAGTTTATATAAACTTTTATTTTTAAATGCGTTAACGTTATAATTTTATTGGGCAATATTAATAAAATTTCTATATTACTCAAATAAATTTATCCGGAGCTAACAGTTCCCACCCTATGAAAT